TTCACCTCTGTGAAAACATTTGTCGCGTTAGATATTTTGTGGTGACTGTTGTAATGAAATCAACAAAATATGATTTAATAGGTGTGCTAGTTGACATTTTAAGTATTTCATTGTCGTTTTTACATGTATTGTAATGGAATTTGACCTATATCACAATGGTTCTTTTATAATTTTTTCTCATTAAATACTTTTTATAAAAAATAGTATTTGTCTTTCTGAAGTACACCAATTTTGAAGCATAGAATTGACACAAATCTTTAAGCTACTGGTTTTTGATTTTTTTTGTTTGTTTGTTTTGCCTTTTTTAAAGGGGAAAAAAATACGTTAATTTGAGAGTGCATTCTGAATTATGCCATTAACCTAAAATAATTTTCATTATTACCCCCCTGTGCTTAAAAGTGTCAAATATTTTGAGATGCAAAGGGATTTAGTTTGGTTTTTAAATGTTTATCTTTTGGTAGTTCCTACACATTTCCATGTTAGTAGTAGAAAGGAAGAAAGAATATCGAATATAATTTCCTTGACTTAAAAGGTTTTAATAAATACTACTTGAATTGGTTTCATATGCTGAAGTATATGTATGGAAAAACATGATTATTGGTTACAGAATAAAGTCTAAGCTTTTTTATGTGACATCTAACACCGTCTTTCATCAGACCCCACCCAGCTGTCCAGCATGGTCACCTACCACTTACATAGGCACATTTAACACCCTCCCAACATCGAACTGCTTATTAGCTCCTCAAGCACCCCATGATACGTTTTGTGTTGTGTTGTTTGTTTGTTTAGCTTTATGCCTTTGTCCATGCTGTTCACTGTGTCCAGGCACCATTTCCTGCGCTTGTGTTTGTTATGTGTTATAATGCCGTGAGCCCGGAAGCCTTTCAAGTACAGTGTTGACTTTTGTTGCCACAATAGTAGCAGAGTGTTCATTGGGTAGATTGATGTAGCCTTACCTCTTCCCACTGTAGAAATGATTTATATCGTATTTCTAGTGAGATATCCTTCAAGCTTTCTGAATACTGCTGGTGACAGGGATCTTCTGCTTCACGAGGAAGGCCATATATTTTTCCATAACTCAATCTTACAAAGTTGTCTCGTAAGAACAGCTCTTATCTCTTCTTCCTATGACCTCATAAACAGTAAATATTAAAATGATTGTATAATGTTCAAGAACTTGTGATTCTGCATGCAGTAAAAGTCAGCATTTTCTGAATTAATTTTCATTGTGTTAACCCACTCTTCGGTTTTACTTGAATGCTTTGAGAGTACAATGTCACTTGATAATGTAGGCAGAATTCAAAACGCATTCTATGAAGTCGTGCTGATTTCATGTATTTTACTCTGTCACGGACATGTTTAAAATATGAGAATGAGAGGATGAAAGAAAATAGGACATTGACTAGTACATGCAAACTGCACCCAGTTCTCAGCTCCTCTTTTATATTATTTCTTTTAAATTCTCATAGATCTCCGTTTGTGACGTTATCTTTACGAAATCTCTGTGAGCCACTTGTGTAATTCAAACTCAAGTACTCAATATACTTTTTTAACCAAATAAATTTATTACAGATTTGTGAAAGTATTACAGATGAGTCTTTACATGTATAATCATTCTTACCAAACTCAAAAGCTTCCTTAGGTTAAAAACTCTTGCCTGTTATATCTTGATATTCTCTTGTCCTTGTGTGGGATCTGGTAACTAGCACTCATAAAAATTTTTTGAAAAATAAACAAATCTTTCTTCTTCAAGTCCCTCTTACCAGCCCCCTGACCCAAAGCAGAAAAACACAAATTTCTCCTTTCTCTGAGTTCAGTATTTATAGACACTTTTCAATATCTATACTAGTGTTTTCAAAGTGTGATCTGTGGATCATCTGCTTCAGAACAATTGAGTACCTGGGATATGTATTAAAAAAACAAATTTTTAAACTTCAAGCTTATTAAATCAGTTTCTGAGAGTGAGACCCAGGAACCTTTATTTTTATTGTTTTATTTTTTCTTTATGGGATACATAATTTTCTTCTTTCATTTTATTAATTAACCTCGAATTGCATGAGAAAAGCAGAGATCCCAGCCCTGACACAGCTAATCTTGATCCCACCTGTGGAAACGTATAGAGATCCCATAGTGTTTACACCTGGGAAGGGATAAAAACAAGGGTTCCCGAAGTGTTGCCAAGAATGGCCACCGCAGACCTGTTTGTATCACAGGAGCAGTAGGCCCTATCTCAGACCCTTCCAAGGGCCACATAAAAAGGCTTTACAAGGGCCTTTTGGAAGTTGGTCACTTTCTAAGATGTCGTAAAGACCAGCTCCAAGTGAAACTCTGGGTAATAGGCTGAGGTTCTTGTTGATCTTAATGGAAAACATTATAGAACATTCTTGTAGTGGTTGTAGTGAGTCAGGATCTTAAAGCTGGAGTCCAAGATCTCTCCCCCAGAGGCAGCACATCCTCATGTTTAAGCAGCCAGATTTGACCAGACGTTTACCAGTTTATTATAACTGAGCTGCAACTCAGTGAAATAGAGAAGATGCATAAGGTGGGGATGGCGAGGCACAGGGCTTCTGTGTACTCTGGGCAGGCCATTTTTCTGTCACTTCAGTGTGTTCGCCAGCCTGGAAGCTCCAGAACTGCCAGTTTTAAAACACTGCCCATGGGATTTGTATATAATAAAGTGCTCTAAAATAATCAGGTTTTGAGCTTTTATTTGTATTTGTTGGCTAACAAATTTTACTTAAATTTTCAAAGACTCTAAATGGCCACAGGAAGAAGAGAGGTCAATTTAAATCGAGCAGTGAGCTCTTTGGGAATTTATTCTGTAAACCAGAAGAAATTTATTACAAATTGCCATTCCTTCGATTTTGTCTTTTAGCTTCTGACTTATTAACATCCTTGTTTCTTTTTGGCTTTGTCATTTTTTTAAGTCATTTAAGCCTAAAACTCCCAAGTCGTCATTGTTGCATTTAAAAAAAATCTTCCTTGTAATTATTCATCACATAGCAATAATTCTTTTAAATATCTCCAGTATTTATCTCTTTTCTTTCATTCATTTGTGCTTTTCATATCATTCCTTTTCCTTTCCGCCCCTCATAGAGTACTCCTAACACCTTTACATCCCTTCAGCCCGCCTTTGCGCACTGCCGGATGTCCTTAATCATTACACAGAGGAATCCAGATAGAGTCGGACGTTGCTTATCACCTTGGTCATTCAGAAAACTTTCTTTCAATCTAAGTGTTTCATGTGACTCCAACTTGTATATTTGGCCATCATTAAAAATTAGAGGAAATTTTGATAAATATATTTGCTGAGCTTGATTATTTTATCTATTTTGCTTCAGGTACCTTTATCTAATTTAAAAATTGTGTTTTACCCTCACAAATATAATCCTTAAGAAAATCGAATTTCAATTATAGAAAAAAAATAGGAAAACTGATTGAAAGGTAGCTCACATTTCAAATTTAAGTAATTAGAAGTCAACCTTTAAGTGTAATGATAGAATTTTAAATGTTCCTCCTCTTTCATTTAATGATTTCTCTTTCCTCACGTGCTTGATCTTAGACATTATATCTCAACTGCTGTGTTCAAGATTTTCAAGAATCGAATAATGCTACTTGTCCAACCTTATTTCTGGTTTCCACCACAAAGCATATATTGAGAAAGTTTCTTCACGGTCCCGTATTCCTGTTCTTACCCCTGAATTCGTATTCATGTTGTTGCCCATATATATGTATTGCCTTGCTCCCCCTCCCTCCCACTTACCTGAATTCTCTCATCCTTTCCAACCCAATCCCTACTTTTTTATCCCTCTTTTAGCTTTTTCATCTCCATGATTTCTGGTTTCTCACAGCCACTGCTGCACCTATAGAACGCAGTCTGCCAGCTGCCATTCACTTATGTTCTTCTGTAATTGTTGTATTTCACTAGTGTGGCCCCAGTTACATTCCTTGCTTCCACTTTGACAGCAAAATATATCAACACCAGCAGCTACTTAGTTTCTAGGAAAGAGTTAGAATTAAGATAAAATTTAAGTCTTCTTAAATCTGGAGAGCCTACTTTATGTTTTTAATCAATTTTATAAGATCATAAATATGGTGACTAGGATGATACAGTAGTGTACGGTCATACTTAGGACAACTGCCCTTTAATTGTAAAGAAATTTAGGTTAACGTATTTTAATAAAAATAACTGCCACTTATTTGTTTGATGCCTGTTCACTTTTGGTTAGCTACTTTACTATTTTATCTTTGAGTTTTCATAAAATTTTTTTTGAAGTACCCTAAGATTATCTGTTTCTAGTTGAAGAAATTGAATCTCAGGATTAAGAAATACTATGGCAGAACTAAAATGTGAGTCCAGGTCTCCCTGTTTTAAATCCCTTGCTGTTTCTAATGTGTTACATGGTATCCTAAAATAGCACAGAGCTCTTAAAACAGCTTTGCCAGACTATTCCGGAGGAATGTTGCAAATAGTGCCCTTAGAAACGCACAGTTCCATGCTCAGAGGCCCTCCTCGGCATCAGTCAGCAATACAGAGTCAGTTTTCTCTGTTGGACATGCACGTGGTCCTCAAGCTTTATTCGAGAGAGCATCCATAGGTCTAGAGGAATCGACGTGAGGGAAATCGTAGATGTCCGGAGGTAATATTTGAGTGCTGTGTGGCAAGGAAAATTAATTTGATTGGGGCCACTTGGTGAGAAGGGAGAAGACGCCGGAAAGCTTTGGGAGTGAAGGAAGGGTGGCAATGTGACATTTTTGTGTACCCCGATCCTTCCCTTGCACATGTTCTTTTCAGCCTTTTCTTCCTGAGTAAAGATCACTTTGAGTTTGTATGTTGTATGCCTTTTTAATGGTCTTTTTCTGTTACCCGAATCCTGTTTATTTTCCATAGCTTATTTGAATGCATTAAAGTGTGTTTAAATGAGAATTTGATGCAGTCAGGCAGTTGGCACAGAAAAGACTGGATAACAAAAGGCTTCTTAGTAATGAATCACTCCAAAAATGGAACCTGCAGGAACCAACCACGTGGACAAACGAAAAACGCCTTTTGTCCACAAATTGCAGTGACCCTCCATAAACATGGAGGGCTCTGTCTGGCTTAAGACAGCCGACCGTGTCTGATCGTCCCTCTCCACATGGCCTTTAACACCGGCACGCCAGGTCCTTCTGTCCTTGCCGTTCGGATTAATAGCTCTTCCGGTTTAGTGTGCTGGATTAATAATAGCCAAGTTTGGTTACTTCTGTCTCCATCTTAACTGGTTTTTGAGGATTCTTACAGTTTTTGAAAATAGGTGGCGTTCGTTTATTTAGTGATTTGTTTGTTTAAGGAATGGAACGAATATAGAAATGTTTTTCTGAGGGACCACGCTGGCTGAACTAATCCACGGTTATCGGTAGAGGCCGGTGGGGGTTCTAGAGATGAAGGCGCAATCAGAGGCTATGCTGGAACTTCTATAGGCAAGCCAGCAGAGGAACTGTTCCAGTGGATGCTAGTTTGCTTCACTCTCAGTTTGTATAGTATCACTTGCTTTATATACAAGTTGGTATTTTTGTATGTGTCTTCTGTTTTTATAAAAGACTTGCTGATTTTTCCATCATCTTTTCTTAATCTCTTTATATTAAGAAGAAAATATTAGGTGCAGAATTAACTTAACCTTGAGGAGAGTTTTATAGCAAAACTGCCAGTTTCCAAGAAAGAGGGAGAAAATAATGAGAATGACTTGTTGGCATTTTTACTTCACAAGCAAGTGAAAACAACCACTTAGCCAGAACTTATTTACATGAAGGCTCTGGCAGACTACAGCTACAGATAAGAATTATCGATCATTCAAAATGCAAACAAGAATCCCTCAAAACCTGCAGTAATGACCTTGTATTTATCACTCCCATACCTCTGTGCCGAAGTAGACGACCTGGCTTCGTTTTTCTGTTGCATGCAAAAATTAATTTATCTTAAGTTAATACGTGACTATCTGAAAGACAGTTTAATCCTGAATCCCTTAAAGTTCATGGTCTTTGTAGGGAGGGGGCAGATCAAGATGTAAAACTATCACTTTTCTTCCATTGTTTGTTGTTTGAATAGTTTTGAGTTTTCCTAAGAATTCTTAGGGCACACTTAGGACACCTATACACATACCTGTATGTTAGTCCCAAAGACTGATCCAGCTGGGCAGTCACTTCTCGTGTTCGCTTGTTTGTAAGTGAAATATTTATGTCTCCACAGAAAAAGGTGTTTAGAAATAACCCTCTGATAGCATCTAAGATGGCATCATCTGTTAATGCCACAATAGTCCTGAGGTTACAAAAAGACACTATTCTTCCTTCTTGAGTTAAGTGAAGTAATTGTACAGCTTTCAAGCTCCTCTTATGTGGTGATCTAACTATATTCTCTTATTTACTTGAGCCTAATCTTTCATACTGTATGATAATATACCATACTTTTCCAAGCTTTTCTTCTACTAAGAATTAGGAGTGTGAGTCATGTAATTCATCATCTCTAACTGACAGAAGTGGATTCTCCCTACCTCCCAGGGTGAGCCCTCATCTCTACTAGGTTTCTGTGGCTTCCTCCTTTGTATTGAAAGGTGACTAGAACTAGAATGGCAGAAAGAGAGCGAGCTTTGGGCTATAAGTTTTTCATCACACAGACATTGTGTATTCCCATAGCAGAGGGAACAGTTTTGGGTGACTGCAGCATCTAATGATGGTGGCCATTGCTTTTTCGGGGACTGGAGTCTGTCCTCAAACAGAAACTAGGTTGATCAGTACTACTTGTTGCTTCATTTCTGGAAGGTATGCACAGAAGAATCATGTCTGGGTCCTCTGGTGGCAGTTGCGATGTCACACAGCGTACTGGAAGTTCTTGCTAAAGAGAAATCCGTATGACACCACCCAGTGCCTGTTTTTGTTTCCTGAGGCAGGCATAGAAAAGCTGCCCCTTGACCAACTCAGAGTTATTTATATTCCCTAAGGATACCCAAAACTCACTCCAACCACCTTCTGAACTCAAGTCATTAAGAGACTAGATAAATCCCAAATTTATCTTTCTGCCCCCTCATCCCACTCCACTCCCAATGTGGAAGCATTAATTCTGTGCACATTCAGCCCCAGAAGTAGTCCATAATTTCCCAAAGTGGATACTGACACTAATTCTAATAGTGAATACTATATTACCATGTTACTGTTTTCAAGAGTACATGTGCTGATTTAAGGCAAAACCTCAGCTAGGAAAATACCAGTGTAGGGGAGAAAAAGGGTTTTTTTAACCCTTTTAAGGTCTCTAGCCAGGTCTGAAAATTAAACTGACAGATTAATAGAAAAGCATCCAGATGTATTTAATGTAAGTTTTACACGACATAGGAGCCTCCATAAGGAAATGAAGACCCATAGAAACAGGCCCGTGTATTTTATGCTAGGTTTCGGGAAGAGTAGGTGGTCAGATAGAAATGTGATAGGAAATTATTGTAATTTGGGGGACACTTAGCAAGACCTGTGTGTTAACTGCTTCTTGGCGTCCCTTCGTTTATGGAGATAAGGGTGCTCTTTTCCTCTGCGTATAGTGTGGGCGCCTCTCAAATGAGAGTTTTATGACCTGTTCTCAGGGGAGGAGGGTTAGGGTGACCTTCCTGCTTCTGTTGTTTTCTCAGACTTCTTCAGTTTAAAAGATTATGCCAAGGTGCCATCTTTTGGGGTCATGTGTCTCAAACCCCATTATCAGCAGTTCCCATGCCTACCCCAGAATAAAGCATGAGTTTATTCCTTCTTGATACAGCTGGGACCATTAACATTGTTCCCACCTACGTCCAAAGAATATTCTGATACCAAAAACTGGGGGGATAGTGGGATAAATTATTTATTTCCTCTTACACCAATAGCAAACACGTGAGCATTTTCAGAAGTAACTTCACTGGGAATCAAAGGGAAAGTTAAAAAATAGAAATTCATTATTTAGTAGAGCACAGATTCCTTATAGCAAAGAAACTAAAGTTTAACTCAAATTAGATGAAGTAGCTTTCCCAGTATACAGATCGAGTCTTTTTTTTCTTCTTTTCATCAGTGTCATGAAGCTTGTAGGTTATTCCAAAGCAGATGCTGTCTGCCCTTCATTGAGGTTTGACCGCTTTGTGTTTCTCATAGCTCTTACTGGACTTGGTCTTTCCATCAGCCATGTGGCTTCTATAGCAGTTTGAGCCAAAAGCGAAAAGAGTTCTTTTCGTTCCCAGGCTCCAGAGCCCTATGAGACTTTCCGTCTCCAGCAGGAGGCACATCCCAGTTCTTCTCACTTCATGAGATTCCCTCTGGTAAACTCAGTCTTATCTGTTCCTTTCCCCACCCTGCCTATTTTCCAAAGAAATGTTTTTTTCCTAAAGCTTAGAATATAAAACTACGTTACCACATACACTCTATTTCCAATAATCACCAAGTTATTAAAAATGCATATACTGAGTGATAGAATGATTAGAAAGAAAGCCTTTTTTCCTCCAGATGGATATTCACGTGTTTTTTCATAATACTAGTTAGCTGTCCATAGAGATTTATGCCAGAGATGTTGGCAGCTTTTACATCAATTACTGGTGTTTTATGAGGAAAAATTGAATGAAGGGGGAGTTTTCTATGGAAAGGGTTGTACACTTTGTTTTTCTCAAGTTACTTTCATTTGTGCTTTATTTCAGTCTTTGTTCCTCTTGGCTTTCCTTCTACTAGTAATCTATTTTTCTCTCTCTCTTTTTTACATTTGAAAGTTTTCTACTCTGCAACTTTACTATTTTTATTCAAATTTAATCCTCAAAATATTGGATTTGGGGTTTAAAATTTATAGTTCAAAACATGTAAATGTTGGTTCTCCACTCCAGATTCTGTTGCTGTCTTAGGGTGAGGTGAAGAAAAGAAGGGTAGAGAGGAGGCTGTTCTCTTGGCCTGCCTTCCAGAAAATCCGTCTCTGTGCTTCAAAAGTTCTTGTTCTTTTCCAGGAGTCCAATGTGCTGATTGCTGCTAACAGTCAGGGTACAATTAAGGTAAGCTATTTTATACATCTCAACATTAAACTCGGTTCCGTTTTTAGACTGTAACAGACTGTAACTGTAACATGGAAATACAGAGTTGTGCTAAGCCTTAGAGATCTCTCCAAATCATGGGTCTCTGTCTCTCCTTGGAAAGGTTTTGATTGAAGGGGAAAAGAATAAGTAGCTTGCAACTATGGAGATGATGATAGTACTTGTTAAAGGTGATGTGAATGCCGAATGGATTGATAGGTAGTCAGAATGAAAAACAGACGAAGACTGTTAGGCATTCACTGTGGGCCAAGCACTGTTTAGCTTCCATTATGCCAGTGCAACTACCCGACAGGGCATTCAGTGGACAAGGTCCAAGATATAGCAAGAGGTGCTTAGACAGTCACCAGATTTCATAATGTCTTACTCTTATTTTATTCTTCCTTGTGTTTCTCTTCCTTCTCTTCCCTAACAGGTAGGTTTTTCCCGAGTTACCAAGGGAAGAAAAGGTATTTTAGTGTTCAGTTGAAAATTGATTGATCCTGTGATCATACAATTAGTGTAATCCAAACACTTAAATGTCTCTTGGCACACAGTCTCTGTCACAAATTCATACATAGTTTCCACATATTTTTTTTTTTAGTTAGGAGCTCAAGGAAGTAAAAATTGTATCTGATTATACCACTGAGTGTTTAGCACATGGGCATGATACATTAAATTAATAAATCCTGAGCTAAGCAGTGAACTTTTTAAACAAAGCGCCATCTCGGAGGAAGATTTTAGTACCTAGCTTTGATCAGCACTTACTTTGTGAATACCAGTTATATCCACGTATTCTCTGCTGATAGATCAGGAAATTTTTTTTTAAAAAAATAATATGTATCTTATTTCCCCCGCCAGTTAGCATATAATTTTGCCATGGCTTCTTTCTATTCATCCTGAATGGAGAATGACCCAGAAACCAAGGGAGCAAATCCAAGCCTAACACACTATGCTGCAGAGGAGAAATGAGCAAACTCAAAGCAGAACAACTGTGCTGTTAGCTGGTCAAACTAATTTACATGGTATATATACTTTTTTTTTAAATGCAGCTCGTTTCTCTACTTGGAAACCTCATAATAGAGCCATGGACAACTTAAATAAAAGCCAG